AATGCAAGATTATGTCCAGTGCATTGCGTATGCGCAATTTTATCGATTGTCAAAATGGCCGCACATAATCCTGTCGGTGCGCTAGCAACTCTGTCCAAAGTGAATTTTGACCATGGCACATCAATTGTGGTGAGGTCCTAATGTTTTTATCAGCTTGCCAAGGCCGTGGAATGCATAATACCATACTCCGTTTCCATGGTTACCATGGGTTGTTACCATGGAATTTCGTAGTATGCCTTGTGCGATCACGTCTAAAATTTGTGGACTCCATCATTAGCCCCTTAGCAACAGTTTAGGGTCAAGTTTTAGGTCAATGTTAGAACAGAGGCCATGCAGCATGTCTGTGTATGATGGTCCTACCGGTAGGTCCTACCGGTAGGACCGAGGTCTATGCAAGCTATCACTAAACAATGGTAGTAGAATTCCGTATCTCCTCTACCTACCTGTATGTTATCTTGTATCTTATCTCCTCTACCTGTATGTTATCTTGTATCTTGTCCACACGTGCAGTACAAAGATCAGGTTGGCATTGTCTCCGGCCAGATGCCCAAGTTTGATGTTCGGGTATCGTACGGATCAGGCGTGCGATGGATCTTCCATCCCGGCTGTCTGGTACGCCAGCGAAGCGCTAATGGCGATGATTTCTCCCAGGACTGGTTTACTGACAGCGGTGCAGATGCCACTGATGACACACTGGATGAGCAACGGCTACTTGGCAGTGGTACGGATTTGGTAGCGTAGCAACAATAATGCGCCTCTCATTGCCATGCCATGGCGCTTCTCTCACATGATTCTAGTCCTGGCACCATGATAAACAGTTTGATGCTCTTGCTGTGCCACAACTAATTACTTCATGCAACAGCACGGCTGACTCCAGCTGCCTGCCTGCAGTCCTGCTTTGAAGCATGGGGTAAATGAAGCTTGGGGTAAATGAAGCATGGGGTAAAGAAGGCGCTGGCACCCTGTACCAATGCATGGTTGCGTATCGGCAGGTCTGGGATTGTATGGTCTGGGATTGTACCGCGCTCTTCGCCAATGAATGGTTGCATGTTGGCAGGCCTGAGGCTGCACGAACCCCAGTGAGATATTGTGACATGTCGCCTGGATTTCATTAAACAACCTTGATATAAATGTGGCCATTCTGCATATGTTTGCATAGCGGCTGATGCCCTGGAAGTGGTATGAATGCTGTTGAACCTACACATGCACAAGTACAGTAATGGAAAGTGTAAAGGGGAACTGATGCAGGGCGCCAGCTTTGTACTTTGGTTCGGATTTCACCTTGTGCAACTGTGCCAAGATGTGTGTGTTGTGGTGTGTGTGTGTGTGTGTCAATAAATGTGCTCGCGTGTATCAACGTGTGTGCCTGTGTGTACTAATACGTGTGTTTATATGAATGTGTGTGCGTGTGTGTATGAACGTGTACATGCATGTGCGTATTTCTGTTCCTGCCCCACCACCAGCTCTAGCAGGTGTGGAGGATCCAAACTTGCAGCGGTTACTAATGAGCTGGGTAGCTGACATGGTTCTATCCCCAGCCACGGCCATAGCCAAGTCCGTGCAAGAGGGCGATGTGGAGAAAGTGCGCCGCGAGCTGGAGCGTCACCAATCACATGTGAGCGTGCAGCATGCCTCTGTGTCACACTCTGGACTGGACTTGTGTATGTGTGTGTGTGTGTGTGTGCGTCCGCAATTTTGACTTCCACATGCGTGCGTCGCTATGTCGATCACTTTAAGAAGACATTATCTTGATGTGTGCAGTGCTTGTGGGTATGTTTGTGTACAATTACCTGTGCCGTGTGTATACGTGTGTGCACACTGTATCAATTCTGTATTATGTGTTTGTGTGTACGTGTAGATCAATGATCGTGTTGGCGAGCACAACCAGACGTGTTTGCACATCGCCGCTGGTCTGGGCATGACGGAGATCATGGATCTACTCATTCAAAAGGGAGCTATGCTCTCAGCCGAAGACAAAGATGGTGATCAGCCAATACACTTTGCTGTCATGGGGTGAGTAGTACATCTGTCACATCTATACCTGCAGTGCATCTATACCTGCAGTGCATCTATACCTGCAGTGCATCTATACCTGCAGTGCATCTATACCTGCAGTGCATCTATACCTGCAGTGCATCTATACCTGCAGTGCATCTATACCTGCAGTGCATGCAGTGGTTGTACATGTACATGTATGTCTGTTCTGACTCTAGGCTGAAGCATCTTGGCAGTGTGCTGAGAAACACTGTACTCCCACTCTTGCAGGCTTGCTGTGCAAGGGAGAGAGAGAGAGACTGGGGGTGGTGGGTAGATATGCTGTGTTTTGTTTGCAACGCCGCAGCAATATAAGTACCTGTAGACGTCGTAGTCATATACCAGTACATATACCAGTACATATACCAGTACATTTGCTACAATTGTAAGTCTTGCAGTACTTGTATATCACCAGTCCACTGTCATCATCCCCAATCATCTGCTTATATGAACGTCCACTCTGTTCTCCTGCACTGCACGCAGCAATGAACCTCGCTCCATTGCATGCCTGGCGCGTAACCACGCCGACATCAACGCATGCAATCACAAGGCAGCGACGGCACTGCATTCCGCGTGTTTCCGTGGCAACGACTCTAGCGTGGCGGAGCTGCTGCGCCTGAAGGCCAGTGTGACGATACAGGTATTATCATACGTGTGCATGTAGTCTACTGTTACTACCCACCACTGTCCTGTTTGATATCTTGTCGTTTGATTACTGCAACGCCAGTTGTGGGTCCGTTTGCTCGGCTTGCCTGGGACGCTTACTGTTCCCACGTCTTTGCCACTTACTGTCGTCATGGTGAGAGCTTTGATTGCGGAAAACCCGGACTCCAGCCGAGTCTCACGCGGACCGTGAATTTTTTTGATTGCCATCAGCGTGTGGGTAAAGTGGTTCTCACTCACTCAGACTGTGTGTGTGTGTTGCTGCTCATACGTTCTAATCTTTGTGTGTTACTACATGTACTGGTGGTGGCGTGGTTGTTCTTGCCATGGCCTTTCCTCAGGACGGTGCAGGGGACACGCCGCTGCATGATGCCGTGGCAAACGACCATGGTGAGATTGTGGACATGCTGCTGGATGCTGGCGCTCCACTGGCTATCGGAAATGATCGTGGCTTCAATATTGTCCATCACGCGGCGCTCAAAGGACATCATTAGTGAGTAGAGAACAATATGGCAAGTACTCTTACAGAAGTAACAGTTAGTCAGTACTGCTGTACATGTGCATGTGTCAGTGTGCTACTGGCTGCTAAGAATCTGCTGAATCTGCTAGGAATCTGCTGAATCTGCCAGGAATTTGCTGAATCTGCCAGGAATTTGCTGAATCTGCCAGGAATTTGCTGAATCTGCCAGGAATTTGCTGAATCTGCCAGGAATTTGCTGAATCTGCCAGGAATTTGCTGAATCTGCCAGGAATTTGCTGAATCTGCAAGGAATCTGCTCAATCTGCTAGGAATCTCTCTGCCGTGAGATGGCTGCTCCACAGCGCGGGGTCACTAGACAGGCTCAGTCTGCAGAAGGTAGTCCTGTGACCGGTCTGGCCGCTCTGGCCGCTCTGCTCTCCTTTCAGGACACTGACTACAGTACCGGAGGCCCTGATGATTGCCCCGGCGTGGCCGTGACGTTTGACATGAGTGATTTTGATTTCCTGTACTGCAGTGTGCTGGAGAAGATAGTGCGCAGACACCCTGAGATGATCAACTCGACAAAGCCCGATGGCTGGACCGCGCTACATCTAACGGCGTTCAACAGTCACATGGGAGCCACCACTGTACTGTTGCAACAGGTACATCCTGTGTGCTCTGTGCTCTGTGTGTGTGTGTGGGGGGGGGGGGGGGGGGGCATAGGTCGACATGTCATGTACATGTATGTGGCTATGTGTGTTGCACAAAAAAAGAAAGAAAAAAAGGGACTCATTGCATTCCCAACTCATCACAACCACGCGCTCTCAGCCGAACCATACAGACACCAGCAAGGAACCCGGCCCTTAGAGTGCGGATGCAAGTTTTTGCGATCCGCGGTGGAGTTTGTTTCACCGGTGTAGCTGCCTTCGGCAGGACCGCACCTACACTGATTTGTTCTAGTGTTGATGTATGACTCAATAATATGGAGACTAACGAAGATATGGACTTAGCTCTGCTGACATACGAGGAGCTGCTCACAGTTGCCCGAGCTACAGGACTGACCAACCCGGAGACAATGGGCCGACAAGACTTGGTTGTTGCCCTTCGCAAGGAAGGACTAGGAATACGGAAGTCACCAGACCAAATGGTAAGCGACCTGCTCTCCACTTTCCAGCTGCTTAACGAGACTATAAAGGGTATGGCTTCAGAAATAGAATGTCTTCGAACGAGCAAGACAGACGCCATTGTCTCCTTGCAAGTAGAAGTTGCTCAACTGAAGGGAGTAGTAGAGAGAATGCAGTCCACAAATCCCGTACCCGTAGCGTCCCCAGCTTGCACTGACCAAGAGAAATTGTACAGTAGCACTGCAAGGAAAGCTGCCTCACCAACAGGCACACACACCAGCACGGACGGTAGTACACGTACTACTACAAGAAGTAGTACCCCAACGGCCAGACCTGACCTGCCCACCAAACCTCAAACGCAAGATACAAGCACAAGCGACAATGGGTGGCAAAACCCACACCGCCGCCGCCCTGCACAAGCCGACACCAACACTACCAGTAGTCCACTGAAACGCACTATCACAAGCCAGTTCACAAAAGAGCCAGCCCGTACCAAACGCACTGACCTTCAGGGCGTGGAGCGGGTGAAGCGCACGGCTTTCTACCTTGGCAATGTAGACCTTGGATGCGATGCTGCCTCAATTGAACTGTGGTGTAAAAAGAAAGATGTCGAAGTTTTTCACTGCTCAATCTCAGAATCACGGTACTTTGGTACAGCTTATGCCCACCTGGTTGTGGGAGAGAACTGTGTAGACAAGATCCAAGGGCCTGACTTCTGGCCTGACAAAATTAGTATCCGGAAATGGAGGTTCCACACTGACCAGACTGAATCTGAACAATGAGTAAACCAACACCTCAACTTGACCCTAACGCAACACCCTTCTATCCCTCAACGCCCTTAGCCTCCTTTCCCGTAGCCTGCATCAATGCACGTTCCCTTAGAAACAAATCTGCTGAGCTATCCGACTTTCTCACGACCAGCTGTCCCCTTGTTGTTTGCATAACTGAAACCTGGTTGTGTCCACAAATTTCCCTCTCCTTCCCAGGCTATGAATGTTTTCGAAGGGATCGACCCACCTCCGAGAATAAAATTAACACCAACGACTTCCTGGCCTATGGCGGTGTTGCTATCTTAGTAAAATCAAGTGCATTTGGTCCTATTACCCACCGTACAGACCTACATCTTCCGCAATTCGAAGCTACCTGGGTAGAGATATCGCCATCCACTGGAACCTCTGCTTGCCCCACGCGCCAGCAGCCCATCCAAATTGCGGCTGTCTACCGCCCACCGTCCACCGACCCGTCGGTGATAGATAACTTTTACGCCTCATTTCAAAGCTGCTTGACTAAAATACGGACCCCTGGCTCGCCAGTCCTCATCATGGGAGATTTCAATGCTAAATGTTCCACCTGGTATGGAACAACAACAGACACTGCAGGCCACCACCTTTCATGTCTTCTTGACATGTTTTCCTTGCAGCAACACGTCACATTCTCGACCCACCGCTCCCACAAAGGCAATGAGGCTGCTCTGGACCTGATGATCACTGACACTGCAGCCAGCATCTGCGATCCGCGCCCCTCAGCCCCTCTCGGTCAGTCGGACCACTCAATTGTTCTCGGCCGTTTGTGCATCCCGACATGTACCGCATCACCACCTGCACCCAACACTACACTGCCCTCCCATTCCTTCCAGATACCTGACTTCAGTCAGTTTGACATCTCCTCCATTCTTCCCACTCACCTAGTTGCTCTGAATGAATCCATTGCTAATGTGAACTGGCATGCTGCTCTCCAGTTGAAGCTTGGAGATCCAAACCGTACTGCTCCAGCATTTTATGACATCCTTCATGGTCTATGCTCCGCTTTCCTACCCACCCGGTCGCGCTCTTCAGCCCCTAGACGACGTACACCAAGTCCCCCGTGGCTGACACGTGCTGTTAAAGCTCAGCTGAAGAGGAAGCGAGACTCGTACAGCTTGTATCGCAAGTATCCTACCCCTAGCAATCACGAGCATTACAAGTACGAACGTAACAGAGCACGAATCCTATCTAGAGCGGCTCACCGCCAGTATGTGTCCTCCATTAGCACTAACCCCTCATCCATTATTGCATCCACCCCTAATTTGTTCAAGTTTGTTAAGCAGCTTCGTTCGCCGACCCCTGTTGGAAACCCTATCATCACTGAACTCCATGAAAATAACACAGTACACAACGACCCTACCCAGATTGCCAATGCTCTGAATCGCCAATTCATCAGCTTTGGAACACCGGATGATCCTGCATGGTCTCTTCCTGGTATTCCATACCACGGGCTCCCAGCACTACCCTCTTTTAGCACTACTCCCACCGCCATTGCCCAACACATCCGTCGCCTAAAGCCGAAGAAGGCGGCAGGTGCAGATGGCATATCTCATGAACTCCTAAAAGCCCTGTCTCCTAGTATAGCTATCCCTCTCAGCCTAGTTTTCAACCAGTCCTTCGCCACCGGAATCTTCCCTGATGTCTGGAAGGCAGCTGTGGTTGTGCCTATTTACAAGAATAAAGGCAGTAAACTGTCTGCATCCAATTATCGGCCGATTTCACTCCTTTCCACCATTTCAAAGCTCTGTGAACGTGTGGCATTTGGCCACTTATACCACCATGTGAACCCGGTCCTTGATCCGTCACAGTCTGGATTTCGGCGAGGCGATTCGACCGCCTGGCAGTTGCTGAGGCTTGTGCAGAAGCTCTATGAATGCAAGGATCAGAAGCAATTTAGCCTCCTATGTTTTTTCGACCTGAGCAAAGCATTTGACACTGTCTGGACAAGGGGTCTCCTCCATAAGTTAGCAGCGTTTGGCGTAGCCGGGACGTGTCTGCAGTGGCTCACCAGCTATCTCACTGAACGTCGACAGAGTGTCCGAATTGGACATGTCTTGTCCGCCCCTCTAACAGTCCACTCTGGAGTGCCCCAGGGCTCTATCTTGGGGCCTCTATTGTTCATCGTATACGTTAATGATTTGGCAGGTTTGGATCATACCTCACTCTACGCGGACGATACAGCGCTCCATATAACCGAGCCAGGATTATTACAAGCCTGCGACTCGCTACAGTATCACATTAATCAAGTTGTGCGCTGGATGTCGAAGTGGAAACTCCGCCCCAATGTGTCGAAAACGGCAATCATTTGTATCCCCCCACGACCCTCCAGTGACCTCACCCTCTTTACGACTCGGCTTTTTACTTTCCCTGATGATCCCATTGCTATCAACATTGTTAAAAATCACAAACACCTTGGTATATTTCTTGATGAACACTTGTCCTGGGATTCGCACGTAACCTATATTGAAAAGCGAGTTTGCTCCACGATAGGCTGCATTTCTCCTCACATCTCCCATCTACAACATGGTTGTCGAATACAAATTTATCACTCTTATGTTCTTCCTTTGTTTGATTACTGCTCTCTCGTTTGGTCCTCCGGTCTATCCTCCGCTCTTATGCATCGGTTAGAAGTCACCCACCGTAAATTACTTCGATTAATATTTCGCATGCCCCCTCTGACCTCCTCTCAGACGCTATACATTTTGGCTTCCTCTTCCCCTCTCTCAGAACGCTTTCCCCACTCGGCATGCAAATTCATTCACCGTATTAAGCTTCAACTTGCTCCTCCTCATGCACTTGCGCATTTAAGCTGGTTCAATAATAGCTCGCGTACTAGATGTTCTCTCCATTTCCCACTTGCCAGATCATCGATCCTTTTAAAATCCCCTCTGTTCAAGTCCTATTCTCATTGGTCTCGGCTTCCGCAGGAGGTAAAGTCTCGTGACACCTTCGCTGCATTTTGTTCCATTCTGCCCGCGCCTAAGTCGAATTGAATTGAGTTCGTTGTTTTCCATTGCTAGCCTAATCTTCATACTGCTCTCTCCAGGTTCCTATAGCACTTCTTTTGTTTTGTTTTCCTTTCTCTTTTTTTCTCCTTCTTTTTCTCAGTTGTCCCCACCATGGCTGGTTAAAATCGCCCGCATCACATGCTTATTGGCACTATGTCATCGTGATTGTGGAATAATAAAATAATAAAGGACACTTCCGTTGAGAGATAACATTGTTCCAATATTAATATTGTTAAAATTGGAAATATGGCCGAAAGCTCTGTCGCAATATTTAGTTCTGAAGAGATTCATTGGCCAGAAAAAGCCACTTCAACCAGCCATGTGGTTTACTAGTGGACCAGGCTAAAATTATAAGTAGTGGCGGTCAATCCATCAGCCTTGCAAGCTGGTGTATGGTGTAATCCCAGCACACGTTGCTATGTCTTACATAGCTTGTTCGCGATCATCCCTTCAGCAGTGGGCAGGAGTATAATATGAGTGCTCAAATACACTGTACCTGTGTTCTGTGCCATCAGTGCATGGGCATTAGAACACGACACACACATCATCTTTTATTCTATCTCCATCATATTGCGTGCATCATGCCAGGGCGTGTGGTAACGCTTGAACGTACCAGTAGTACAGTGTTTGCTACTGCATGATCACAGTGTTGTCTTCTGTCTCTTTCCAGCCTGGGTGCCAAATCAACGCCAAGACAAACACAATGCAGACACCACTGATGCTGGCCGTGGAGAAGGGGGCGTCGTCGTGTGTCGAGCTGTTGGTCAGTTACGGCGCAGAGCTAGAAGAAAAGGACAAAGATGGCGACACTGCCCTGCACACGGCAGTAATACGTGAGAACATGCAGCAGACGCTGAAGAGGATAGTAGTGAGCAGCGACGTTACCAGCGAACAGCAGTCTCTCCTGCTCAGCCAGGTCAGTCAGTCGGTATATCGATGGCGTGTGTCTCCTATCTCCCTGCTGTGTGCCACCTTCGGTAGTTTTGGTGGTCCCCTTGCACTGACGGCAATAGGTGTACACTAATGGTCTAATGCCAACTAGAGCAACGGGCGGCACCAGAACTAATTAATTTAGGACCAACTAATGATCTGTGTGTCTTAGCTTGTATTGTTTTCGGTCATATCACCCTGGCTAAGAGGACACTGAGCTAGCTGTGCACGAGAGGAGGTACATGTACCACGATCACTTAAAAAGAGGTTTTCAGAGCAGACCGGCATGTGAGGAGACCTAGTCACTGTCTTACTCATTTCTATGCTTTTCCTCATTCGCAGATTGCACCGAAGCTCGGCCTGGACCCGAGCTTGGCGGAAAGCCAGAACGCGGTGGCCATTGCCTGCTTTCTGGCTCAGGAGGGTTGCAGTCTGACAGCGCTCAACAAGAAAGGCAAAACGCCACTGGACATGTGCTCTAACGATAAGCTGAGAGCTCTGATCAAGAAGTTCGAGAAGCCGAAAGGGTACGTGACTGACGTTGCGCACCACATAGCAGTGTAGCGAACAGAGTAATGTTTTGCTTGTCCCTTTTCCCTTAGTAGGTGAACGAGTGTGGTGTATGTGTGTGTGTGTCATTGCCTATTTATCACGGTGATCCTGGGTGGGTGCATGGAGCAGGCTTTGTAATGGCTAATGTACTGCACACACGTACGCGCGCGCACACATGCACACGCGCGCGCATACACACACACACACGTATGCGTGCACACATGCACACACGCACACACACACACACACACACACACACACACACACACACACACACACACACACACACACACACACACACACGCTCTCTCATCGTGTTGGCGGTCTGTGATCCGCATGTCATTTACAGATGGTCTCCGTTTCACGGCAGCAATCGGGTAGGCGGATTGCGAGGCGCTCAACCTGCACACCCGCCTAGAATGGCGGTGAAGCTGAGTACTGATGGAGCGGCTGCTAGTTCCACTGTACCTAGGACCACTATGCCTAGTTCCACTGTGCCCAGGACCACTGGTGGTGTTAGCAGTGCTGGTGGTGCGGAAGTTATCAAGGTTCACACACCGCTGACAGAGTGCTCGGTGTGCGACAACAAGGCCAACATCCGTTTCCAGCCATGCGGTCATGAAATGCTGTGCGAGGCATGTTCTCAACGCTCGGCTCGCTGTCCTTTGAGAGGATGCAAGGTAAACACTACACACTACAAGTACACACTACACGCTACAGTACAGTACACTCTTGTGTATACTATACTACTGTACATTGCTGACTCATGTACAGTAGTAGTACATACCCGCTACACTCTAATGTTTTATACAATAACAGTTACTGCAGTATTGCTGTGCATGACCGGGTACTGTGTGCATGACCGGGTACTGTGTGCATGACCGGGTACTGTGTGCATGACCGGGTACTGTGTGCATGACCGGGTACTGTGTGCATGACCGGGTACTGTGTGCATGACCGGGTACTGGCTCATAATAATTATACACTGTACGGTAGTAACTAATACTTGCTACCCCAGTCGATGAGTACTTATCTGTTGGTACAAGTAGTAGTCTTACAAGCCCTGATTACATTTGAATGCGTTGAGCTCTTTGTTCATTGTTGTTCTCACATTTTGCTGATTGTAATAAAAAACGTTGTGTCGAGTAGTCTTACAAAAAAACAGCGAGTTACTTGTAGCAGTGTGTAACATGGCCTGGCAGTTACCTGTAGCGGTGTGTAACATGGCCTGGCAGTTACCTGGCTATGCACCCGCTTGCCTGAAAAGTGAAAAATACGTGCAACTAGACTAAGTACGAATAGAAGCAAGAAGAGAAGTGTGGACAGGGTGGTACTGTGATGTGCTGTTAAGTGTACTAGACTGCTAATACATGTTCATGTACCACGTGAAGTCACGACGTATTGTTAAAACCTGCTACATGTGCAAGTATCCAGTGTTAGGAGCAAACAAATTATTATTTTTTGCTCCTTCTGTGTGCTATTTGTTCCAATTCCATGCAGGCTGCTGTTTTGTCCAAGATCAAACTAGAATATGAACCAGCACCTGCTCAAGCACCCGCTGCTGTTGATACTGCTAGTGTGGCTGGTCCTGATGATGATGCATGCATGATGTGTGATAACAAGGCAACTGTCACGTTTCAACCATGTGGTCATGTGGTGACGTGTACAGGTGAGTGTGGTGGTACTGTCCCTCTGCCTGCCGGTGTCTGTCTGTTGTGCGGCAGAGAGAGAGAGAGAGAGAGAGAGAGAGAGAGAGAGAGAGAGAGAGAGAGAGAGAGAGAGAGAGAGAGAGAGAGAGAGAGAGAGGGGAGGGAGGGAGGGAGAGGGAGAGAGAGAGAGAGACGGAGGGAGAGAGAGAGAGAGAGAGAGAGAGAGAGAGAGAGAGAGAGAGGGGGGGGGGAGGGAGGAGAGAGAGAGAAACCATTACAAGCTTGAGTGGCACTAGTATTAGGGAGTTCAGTTCCGGTCACTGAAAAGCGAAAAATGCAGTCACAGCTCGCCTGTACAAAGTGAATGGGCGCCTCGTGACTGCAGTTCGAGATGCAGTTCGAGGCTCGAGTATCTTCTCCCGCTGCCTTTTCGGCCTTGTCGATGCTATTTCTAGGTAGCTGAGGTCATTACTTGTCCAATGGTGCCACACATGCCATGCTTCCAAAAATAATGCCTCCGCGCTTGGCGCGGATGCACTTCGAAGTACTAATTTCGACCAGATCCGTACTCGGCCCCGCGAGGAACACCCGATTTTCGTGTTCAGCGGCCTCGAATTAGCCTAAACCAAGAGGATTCTAGAACATTGAGGCTCGCGCTTTATCGCGGTAGAAGGAAGATGATCACAGAAACCAGCCCACGGCGATTTCCTGGTGGTAAACGAAAAAAAATCGAGTGAACTGCGCACACACTGTAGAAGCAGTGACGGTGAAAACGGGTGACTTGTGCAAGCAGGCGCGCACGGCATGCGTGCACACTGCATGCATGCACACATCCTGTATCGCCATGTATGCACTAGATAGTGCAGTGCTGGACGGAAACCACACGGCTCACATACATACTTGCATTTACTTCTGTGACTATTTTCTCCCCCGTTTTTCGATCTTCAATCGAGTATAACTCTAGATTGCCTTGGAATTTTGGATTCAAATTTTCACAGGTTGTTTCTCACATCTTCCCGGTTTAGAAAAACTAGCGTTTTATGCGAAACTCGCGAATTTGGTTTTTCGATTGAAGTCCCTACTAGTATCTGCATGCCTGGAATGAAGAACTGCGAGTGCCAATGCATGTACTTCAGGTGTGTGTGTGTACATGTAGAAAGTGATAACTGTAACAAGATGCAGTGGTTAGTGTTTCAAAGAGTATCCCTGAGTTGCACAGTATTGCTAGAAGCAACTTTCATTTATCAAAGCGCTGTGACTACTTGTGGACGGGTACATGTACGCGGAGTGATTACTATACACTGATGTCTAATACTGCTGATGTTGTGTCCTTTGCAGAATGCTGTGTTCATGCACGTAAGTGCATCCTGTGCAAGAAGGCCGTGGTGAAAACCATGTGTAATGGTGAGTGTGTGTTTGCATGTGTACTAGCAACTTATTCCAGTGTGCATGACCGTATCTCTCTGTACACAAACTGGCCGGCCGCATGCTTGTACAACAGCATGATGCTATGAAGAGTAGTCTTGATTGTGTGCCAGACTGCAAACCAGTGAGAGGATGACTGTACACGGTCACGGGATGAGAGGATGCACTGAAACTTGCCTACAGTGCTTGAGGGTGGTACATATAATGCCAGATGTCCATGAAACGAAATCTGCGCCTAATCGGCGGACCACGGTGACCAAAGTAAAGTATGGTTTGTAGTGGGCAGGCTCTTCATTCTGGTGTGACTTCTGTCTGCGCCAGTCACGAGTGTCTATGACACCAACATTTTAATACACCTAAAATCACACGTTATACAGTAGCCATGTCACAACACACCGTTCTCTTCATTTTTTTTCTCAGGTGTTGAAATACCGCGGGGTGGTGCTGCCGGCAGACCGGCACCAACAGCGGCTGCTGCAGTCCCAGCGGAGGAAGACAGCTGCCCGATTTGCTTGGACAACCGCTCGAACGTCGCATTCATGTGCGGCCATCGTACGTGCAGCGAGTGCTCGCCAAAGATCTACGAGTGCCCTATATGCCGCAAGCCAATCACAACCAGAATTGAACTCTTCTAACACCCGGTGTGTGTGTGTGTGTGTGTGTGTGTGTGTGTGTGTGTGTGTGTGTGTGTGTGTGTGTGTGTGTGTAGTAATCTCTCACCCTGTTCCTCGACCCCCCCTCCTCCCCGTTCGCTCTCCGCCGATGCAATTTCACCATCATCTTGGAAGGCTGCTCTGCTGCTCTGTGCCAGCTGCATGCTATACTATACTCCATCTCCAGACAGACAGCACTGTTACAAACTTGTTATCTTAGAGCTATAATTATTTGCTGCTTGGTGGCATGGTCTTGGGTTCAAAGTTTCTGGGTTTTAAACCTTTTAAAACGCCCTTTACTGCAACAACATGTACAGATTTGCTAAAGCTCGGCCGTCTAGACTTGAAGTTTGTTGCCAGACTCGTCCTCTCAGTGTCTCACTACACTTAGATCATTATGACTGTTATTTTAGTACTAGTATGTGCTACTTTGTCTGCTATTGCTGCTCGTTGTGTCACTTCGCTGTGAAACTCTTTACTTTTTTTTTAAGAATTTGATTTACCCTAGCAGCCTAACGGTGTCTTGCCCGTGTAAGATGCTGGCATGGTGACCGTCCCAACAGTGGACTATATCTGTAGCGCAATGCCGGGACAGTACCAAATGCTGGCGTGTAACTGTTACAAGAACGTCTGGGTACACCTGCTGATGTGTACACCTGCTGATGTGTTCCACAAGAATACAATGCACACGTGTGTATGACCTTATATGCGCTTGTGTCTTCTCGCCGTGTGCATGCCTCCCCGCCTGCCATGCGCTGTGCGTGTGCTCTGCTGTGCCGTTCTCTTTCCTTGCTGCTCGTACTGCGCCGCATAGTACCATTAGATTGTGTTGCTTGTCTTATGCCCAAACTGCCTTGAGGAAATTTTTATGAACCTTTCTGGTGTCAGCATATGCAATCAGTTTTGAAGAAAAAGAACAGAAGAGCTGACGTCTTTTCGATCAACAATGCTTGCTTCTTCTGAACACTTCTTTCTTGGTTCAAGCTAGCCATTAAATTACACCTCTTTTTAAAAGCATACTGCGCAGTTATACTGTGACATCATGTTTTAACAAGAAAAGCGCTGCAATGACCCCTGCTGTGTTGTTATGCACTGCAGATTGGCACGTGCCTTGCATGCACAAGCAATTCTCACTAGGGTGGGCAGGACAAACTAAAAGAGGACCTGTGACTCGCCGTGCCCAGAAACACGGTGAATGAATGAGACAGTTATGAAGTAACATAGTTGTGCATTCTGATCTGGGCAGTCTACACTGATTTTTTTTCAGCGGAGGCGGAGTACAGGTGGAATCCTGATAATTCGAACCGCAAAATGCCAGAGAAAAACTTCTAATTATCTGGACATTCTACAATTATCCAAACGTGCACCCACAAACACACCTGTACTGGGTGAAGTGCATGGCCAAGGCGGGGCAATGATTTGGTCTGGCCGGCCCTGCACAGGCTGCAGGTTCTTTGAGGAGGCAATTAATTAATGCTGCATGCCACTGTACAACAGTCCACTGGGCCCAGGGTGTAGTACTCCCTCCAGTCCACCATGTACCAGGGCCCAGGGTGTACTCCCTGCAGTCCACTACATGTCACGTGCACGCTTGCCTCAGTCTCCTCCACTTTTCACACCCCAAATGAGAAAGAGCAGCAGCTGCATGCAGGTCACATTCGGCCAAGCCATGGAAAGTTATTCTTTGTGTGCAAGCCTTTTGAAAACACATGATGTCGTGTCAGTTCAAATCAGGCTGTACAAAAACAAAGTACAAGTACTCCCTGGTCGGAATCATTTACACGAGAGAGTCGCGCAGCTAGCAACTCCGTGATTTTTACCCACGCATGCGGATCTACTAGTCGAGTATACGCGACCGCACAGATGCGCACACACAGACACACGTGGCCACCAGCTCGAGATGGCAGCGGCGAAGAGACGACAAAAAATAATTCAATTTCTTATGAATAATGTTGCACTAAACAGTACATACATTTGAACAGGATTTAGAAAGCCTATACAACTAACAGCACGTCACCAGACTTGCAAATGGCGGCCAAAAAATGCTGATGATGAAATCTGCGATGCTAACAATTTCACCAGAATAAAACCTTTGAAAAGAGGGTGGAGATGGGTCATGGAATGACCGAGGCAGACGAAACACTCGGAAACAGCCAAGCAGAACACGGCCCACACTAACGTTACGGCTAGGGAGAGTGAGACGGAGAGGACTAGAGGCAAGGCACATAGCAGATCGCGAAAATAATGTATCGTTACAGGCAGTGGGCGCACGTCAAGTCACAGCGGATAATACATTATACCGCACAGGGAAACTGGCCCATCTACAAACAAATATGAGGAGCAAACTGGATGAAAAGAAGCGTGTAGTTCACAAGGACACGACACACACACAGAAATGATGACAGAGAGAACGAAGTGTCCCCTAAGCCCATGGAGCATTAACAAATAGTACAGTTGGTACAATCAGTAATGCACACGTGACCACGGGCAGCACCTAAGTGGACAATGAGCCGAGTGGCCGCCCTACCACATCTTCTTGTGTTCGTCAAAGCTGACACCGCCCGGGCCCAGGGTCACAACCAGCAGGAGACCGCCAATGACGGAGAGCATCTGAAAGAAATCGTACTTGATGAAGTCACGCAGCGGCGAGTTGTGAGCCAGCGACCACCAGTCGTTGATCAGCAGATTGCCAACAAAGAGAATAACGGTGAGAACGAGGGCAGAGAGCTTAGCCTTGAAGCCGATGGCCACCAGGAGTACCAGGATCAAGCCAATAACAAAGAAGATAATGTGAGCAACATCTTCAAAGGAGAAGACCGTCAGGAACATGAGCACTAGGAGAAGACGACCAGTCAGCTGCATGTACGTGCGAGACTTGTTGCCACCCACCGACGGAACACCGGCGAACATGCTCTTGCCCTCGTCTCGAATCTCCGCCAGCAGCAACAACAGACCGCCGCTCAACGCCAGATTTCTGCACGAACATGAACAAGCAGCATGCCACCACGCCACAGCAAGCCAGACGGGTGAATGGTATTCTGGTGAAAACTAGGAGATCATTATCTCGGTGAAAAACATGTATTCCACCGCATAATACTGTACGCTGATCTCTTGCACGATCCATACATGCCACTGTGATCCCATTGCACTATCCACAACGCATGTATGCATTGCATGCACTAGAGTGGCAAGACGTCTGGTGCAGTGTAGCAGTAACCACACACCGCATGCACACAGTATGTACATGCACATAGGCCGCAGTACGAATACAACTTGTTTACTAGTACATGTACACAGCGACAATACCACTTTGTGATCTCAAACACAGCAGTGTACTGGCAGGTATTAAAAGCAGCACAGCAGTACAATAATAGCATCTGCCACTGAGTTATTCCGCCTGCTAGCGGACGTCGTGAGTTCCCTCGAGTACGGAGACGAACACGTAGCTACTTTCCTTACAACACTACAACAATACAACAGCACTGGTGACAGGAGATTTCATACCAACAGAATTTGGTGAAGGAGAGTGCAGATGGTCGCACTACATATTTTGGACCTTTTTTCTCCACTGTGTTACACGATGATCGGATTCAGGGTGGGTGCGACATGCAAAGGGCAGTGACCTCACTGCTATGTCATCATGTTCCATAAGGATGTGCAAGAAAAATAGATTCTATCCCTTTGGCCTCAACTTCTTTGTTGTCCGGTTGGCCATTGTATCCGTCGTCGTGGGACCGACGTTAAACCCCTAAAAAATAGCAACAATTTTTGCATCATATCTACAACTAACTTGTTACACATAGACCTCTCTTTAGCTGTTCAGGTGCCCTTGATAAGCCTGCTTGGGCGACATCAGGGAGTCGTTGCAGCTCGGGCAAACAACACGGGCAGGTGGGCCGTGGAACTATGTGAGTTTCGCTCCCGGGTTGCCTGCTCTAACGACCCATGGTGCAGCACGCATGCACGTTTGTGTACAGTGTCGCCAGTCAGAGGCACATTGGGGGTCAGGTCTAGGCCCAGACAGAGTCACATTAGGGGTCAGGTCTAGGCCCAGACAGATTCTGCCGGCATTTCTTTAGGCAAAATATCGAAGAATTGAACGAGCGGAAATTGCCGGCAAAATCGGAGCAAAATATTGAGATTTTGGGTAAAAATGGATAGAATCGATGCCTGAAACTTGGATGTCCTTATTTCTTACCCATTCGGCATGATACACTGCCCAGGATGAGATCATATCACCGAATTATCACTGGGATTCACTACGGATCGACATGATTTCGGAAGACCCCAGTGACACTTGTGCGAAAACCCGTGTTGAGAAACCGACCGTGCGATTTTTATGAAACGTTGTACGGGAAGCGGATAAAGTACACGTTTTTCTGGAGCAAAACGCAGCAAAATATGGAGTTTCTAGTGCCAGGCAAGGCAAAACACCGAAGATTTCGCAGCAACATTTTGCGTCAAAATATAGAGTCGAGAGGAGCAGAATCTGTCTGGGCCTAGTCAGGTCACAGTCTCCACTGCAATCACGTGCTACATAGACCACGCATCAGGCAGTACTTTCAACCTCGGGACCGTCGAGTTGTACATCACTTTGGGTACGACAGTCTTGTGTCGTTTCCAATGATACCAGGACTCCCTGGGTGACATCATACCACGTACGCTGATCAGTATGCTACGCCGTGTACCTGGCAAGCCATTCCCTGACCGAGTCTTCTTGCTGCGTGGACAAGGTGAGTAACGCGGGTGACTCAGTCCTAGCTGTACCCTCACACAGGTGTACTGGCTACAGTGCCTGATGATGTGAATACATCTAGCTAATAGAGCCCAAAGGTGGCCATGAACATTTGGCGTGTAAGCGGTGCTTTCGATTATTGTTTCAGGGCTGCCCAGAATGAATTTGTTGTCTCAGATTACCGTATTTTCCCAAGTACTCGTATACATGTAAGCCACACTTTCAACACCAGTTAAATAGGGGACATGTTTGTATTTCGTGACAAAAAGCCCGGGTGTGCCTTGTACTCCAGTGCGGCTTATATTCTGGAAAGTACGGTACCCGACTGACTGTCTACTGTCTACTGCCTACTGCCATGCAGCCGCAGAAATAGTTTTAGTCTCACAAATAGGTACAATAGGGGATAGAAGCATGGCGCTATCGCGTTGCTGCTCGGTGACACATTCACATGCGTACAGATAGCGGCACTGGGTGCGCGAGAGGGCGGGGCAAGCGGACATCGGAGTTACTTGCCTTCGCTATATGTGTATGCCATGTACTAGCTCGAAGCATATTGACAAATCTTCTCTGAAGATCGCCATGAGAAATGGCCTGCGTTCTCGAATCCAAGCTGCAGATTGAATCGCTGCCCGTATGGACGTACAATGTTTAGGAGAAGTTTTGCAAATCGGTACGAAACAAGTGCCGTCATCGTTGCCGATTTAAAAACGTGTTCATCGCACCATGCTTTAATTAACTTAAAAGATAGACATCACTGTCTGCAGGATTTCTTACCTCAAGAAAAAGTGAAGATTCCACAGGATACTGTATGCCAACGTCTGCATGGTCATGGCACACAACACAACAAATACGTGCACAATACTAGGTCAATGAAACGTGATGATCGCAGTGCAGACTTCGTACTGAATGTGCTCACCTGCAGAATCACGACCCCAAACAGGGTGCCAACACCAATCTCCACTTTCATGCGAATCATCACAAGAGCACCTCCAACCAACTGTCCGAACAGATTGAGAATAACGAAGAGGTTGGAGAGAATCGAGCCACAATTCCACGTGGACTCGATATAATCAGCCTGCTCTGTCCATTGGAAAAACATGCGAAATCCATCCTCCAGGAAAGTGGCAACCAGAAACAAATGGGCTAAATGAGGCAAAACATGTTTGCTTTGTCTCAGTATCCGGTCAGCTGCGTCCTCAGCCTGCTTCAATACCTCGTTTGAGGCCATTCTGGATAGCTCGAAACTAAGAACTACAGACAGTTCCACCTAAATGAACTGATGAGTGTGGTGGTAGCGATTCCACCAGCCCTAGGCTCCAAGAGCAAAGAAGAAACTCAGCTCAAGACAAATTTTGGTTTCTCTTTGTCAGTGCCTGATCCAACACGGTTGAACAGTGTACTACAGTCTACAGGTATCGTGTACGTGCTGTGCATGCATGTGTACGTGTCGCCGTTCTTCAAAAGAAAAAATGCACATTTTTGCACCTAAAATGAAGAAAATGAAGACGTAATCCTTGATTTCGTGCGTTCGGATGTTGACGTGATCGTGACACGTCGTTGTGCACGTACTGCACTATGACTGTGTTTAGTTGTAGCGCTCTGTACTGTAGTGTTTGTGAGTGACGAGAGTCGCGAGACCGACCGGAGTCACCGGGTCACCGGATCGCGGCTAGCTTCGCACACCTACTACTACATGTACAAGCAAAGATCTGCGATAGGCGAAGCAGCTGAAGACCATGAAGACTGACTGAAGTCAGTGAAGAAGCCCGGTGACTAGTCGACTGGCGCAGTCTACTAGTCAGGGAGCCGACCTTCAAAAAAGTGGCGCTCCAGGTCGGGCGAGATGGAGTACAAGATCTCTTCAGCAATGGGTTATGGGTCTTAGTCCGGGAGCTGAAATCTGTAGGATGCTTTTTATTTTCGGGGTATGCCACTTCAGAGGGAGGACTTGAAACTTCGCACAGAGGTAGGTAAGGGTCTCTAGAGGACGATTTGAGAACTTGGCCGTCCCGAAGCTGTGCACCAATGCCTGTGCAAGGAGGTTTGTTCGCTCGTCGAACACTATTTCGTTGCCGTGATTTCACAGTTTTTGCGCCATTCAGCGCTTGAAAAATGGGGAAAATCAGCGGGTTTCGCTGACGTAACCAGACATTTTCATGCGAATGACTCAATTTTGCTAGATTGTCAAGAGAAACACAAAGAAACACGAAGCGAAACGCAAAGTCACACCGTCGATGAAGTATTTTTCATTCTGTTTGTATAATTGTGTCGTTCTGAGTTCTGAAGTAACATACAGTAGCTGGTTCGTCGGAGGAGGACATGACTGGTGTTCCTGAGATTGTCGTGCGTAACGGCTAAATGACTTGCCACTTGACCCTGATGTCGACAGGCAGGTCTCGTAGGAACTGTCCGTCTCCATCGAGGTGACTCTGGATTGTTTTTACCAATAGTGTTTTGTAGATTGATCCTCACTACAAACAAGAGTACTCCTGCTACAAACGATTTCCTGCTAGTCAATGAGCGGACTGACAACGTGTGTTAAAGGTGGTAAGGTACACACCATGGCAGCTGCCTTGAACGGAATCTTTGATTATACCAGTGAACGTAGAAATGCATGACTTATCTTGAATAACGTCTCTTTGAATCATTGTTTTGTTGAAGTTTCGGATGCTGCACAATGACATGCGCGTACGTGGAAGCATTCACATTGTAGAAGATCATGGGATGATTATTTCCCTACTTCATTCAGTCCTTTGTGTGGTAAATTGAGTAGTAGTAGACGTAGTATATTTTAGGAATTTCCGCAAACGCAATCAGTAAATGTGGCGGTAACATGTAGAATATAATCATGTTAAAACTACAGCTACGGTGCATCATATTTATGTGAACAAAGGGCTGAATGCAGATATGTAAACAGTGTCATGGACGCGATATACATCGGCACCACCGCATACATCCAGGCAAGACGATGTAGCGCAATATCTGTGTTGAACGGTTTTTGATCCCTTCATCATGGAGAACATTATCCATTCTTCATCCGGTTTGCGATCCTCTGCTCTGTGCTGCCAACGACGTCCACTTGTTGCTCACATGTGTAGTGCTGCTGAGCGGGTTGCCACATTCGGACATGCATCGGCGAGTACCGTAAAAGCCCGTAATAAGGCTGTTCAGGACTCGCCTTCACTACTATGCAATATTTGCCATTATGCCAGATTACGCTGGCACTTGCAGTGCACTAATTATTTCTTGTTTCTATATGCTTGAGTTGTATCTGTCGTGTATCTTTCTTGGCTCGATATGAGTCCGTTTATAGTTAAAGGGGAAGTATACCCTAAAATCAAATTTTCACCAGTTGTAGTCTTCTGGGTGCTGAGTCGAATGGTCTTGGTCCGAGGAAGCTGCGACGCTCCCTTCCTACTTGAATCCCAATCGAACTCGCGCACTTCCACCGAAACTGGGTGACTGCGCCCTACTAGATGGGGATTTGTATGCAAAATGTCACTAAAAGCGCCATTTCGTTCTTATAAAAGCACGGATGACCGCGATTGGCCCATATGTTGTAGTCTTTTGGACGCTGAGTCGACTGGTTTTGGTCCGAAAAGGCTGCGATGCAGCGTTCCTCCTTTATTCCCAATCGAACATGGTTGAACAAGCGGTCACGTGCTCCTGCGTACACCAGTCAGCTGGTCACCGTGCCTGCAGGGTACAACTTACTAGCCTGTTTGACCTTTTTTGGGTGCAGTCCTGTCACTCGAGTTGAACTCGAGTTGAACCTTGGTGTGAAAGTTGTCGCCTGCTGGCGCGGTGACCAGGTGATTTGGGCACCCAGGAGCACGTGACCGCTTGTTCAACCATGTTCGATTGGGAATAAAGGAGGAACGCTGCATTGCAGCCTTTTCGGACCAAAACCAGTCGACTCAGCGTCCAAAAGACTACAACATATGGGCCAATCGCGGTCATCCGTGCTTTTATAAGAACGAAATGGCGCTTTTAGTGACATTTTGCATACAAATCCCCATCTAGTAGGGCGCAGTCACCCAGTTTCGGTTGAAGTGCGCGAGTTCGATTGGGATTCAAGTAGGAAGGGAGCGTCGCAGCTTCCTCGGACCAAGACCATTCGACTCAGCACCCAGAAGACTACAACTGGTGAAAATTTGATTTTAGGGTATACTTCCCCTTTAACTAGTTGTAGCCATCCTGTCCCAGCCGGCAGGGGGTCGCACGGGTTCATGACCTTTACGTTTCCGGCGTTTGTACATTTCTGTTGTACCAGCGCTGCTGCTAATTTGTCGTAGGTTGCGCATATGGCCCTGCATGTGCCGTACGCGCGGCGTTTTCTTTGCTTTTGTATTTGCTGTTTCTCCCTGCTTGGGGGAGTTGTCGTGAGAGAGAAACAGAGTGAAATGGAAGAAAGAAGTCGTTTGGAGTTTGTCGTAGAACTACTAGAAATAGCATAAGCGTGATTCCGCCACGCAGTTCATATTCGGAACAGATGGTAGCAGAGGATGGTTCGAACAATATTTGAAATTAGCAGTTTGTAAGTCGAAAATGTCCGAGCGTACGAGTAGCGATGTCGAGGAGAGCAGCTCGATCAGCCCACACGAAGCGGAGGTGGAACAGGACCCACCGGAAAGCAAGAAGCATACGGCTTCCAGCGGTGTACCTCCTGGCAAGTCGATTGTACCACCTGAAAATGTCGAAGGCCATTTGATGCAATTGAAAAGCAAAAAACAAAAAGCCAAAAGAGAATTTACAAATACCCGACGAGGGTTGTTGGTTATAATGCGAGAGGGCGGTACGATGGAAGCGGCGGACCAGCAGCTCTGGTATCTTGAGAATGTCGAGCAAGAAATATTTGCATTGCTGACCGACATGGAGGAACTGTACTTGGGAGCTAATAATATCAAAGCCGTATCGAAGGTACACGACGAGATGGAAGACTTAAATCAAGAAATGAGAGCGACGACTGATCGCTTCGACCAGTTCGCGAGCCAGCTCGAGTCGCAGGTTAAAAAAGAGCCTGCACTTGCAGCGGGCCAGAACTCTGTGGAAAGGACGAGCAGTAGTACTAGTAATACTAATAGTCTGGATGCCACAGCCCAGCCTTTCATGCCAAGTGTGACCCAGTCTCAGGAAGAAAAGGCCACTCCAGCTGACTCAGATAGTCAGCAAGCACTGGAGTCCGATCCTAGCAGTACTGGTATCAGGAGAGGTGTTACTGTTAGTGCAGCAGCTGAGACTGTACACCAGGAACAGTGGCAACCTGGTCAACTAAGTAAGCAGTTAGATCCTGCACTGAGTACTACTGCCAGCCAGTCATCAGTGACCCAGACTAGCCAGACCGGAGCTGTCACTGCTAGCTCATCAGTCAGTATGACCACCAGCAGCACAGGGGATGGAACCAGTCCACGTCATGTACCTGCCCCAGTAAGTGCACCACTGTACACTCAGGCACATACCGGAATATCCAGCAGTACAGATACAAGGAGCAGTAGTGCAAGGGTAGCACTCAGTACTACTAGTAGTAGACCAGCTCTGCCAGCAGTGCGCATGTCCGCAGTAGCGCAGCCGGCACTACCAGCACCACCACCACAGCCACCACAATCGGCAAGGGCAGCTGTCGGCCAGGACCTGTGGAGGCAGCTTAAGCGAGTATCCATTCCAGTATTCCGTGGGGACAAGAAGCAGTTCCCAAGCTGGAAAGCAGCATTTCTGGCATGCATTGATCAAGCTCCGCTGACAGCCGAATACAAAATGCTGCAGCTGCGGGAGTACCTGGCAGGCGACGCATTGAGAGCAGTAGAGAATCTGGGCCACTCTGCCGCTGCATATGAAGCTGCCAAGACCCGTTTGGAGAGAAAGTTCGGCACAAGTCGGCGACAGGTGAGCCTGTACCTCGAGGAGCTGGACAGATTCCGACCCATCCGTCCAGAATCAGCAAAAGACGTAGAACGATTTGCGGACCTACTTGACGTGGCAGTCATCAATCTGAAGGATATGCAGCGGACTGAGGAGCTGGGCAACGGTTCCCTGTATGCCAAGCTGTTGTCTAAAATGACGGAAGCCATGGTAGTCAACTATCAACGCTGGCTCTACGAAAACCACGAACCCGAGAATGTGGAAACCCTGCTGACCTGGGTAAATCGTGAGGCAGAATTCGCAGTCATAGCTGCCGAGTCAGTCCGGGGAGTGACCTCGCAAACCCGTCAACAGGAGTCCAGCACTGCACGGCCAAGGGACGTGAGCAGCCATGGACGAGGAGCAGATCGGCGTACCTCGCATCACACCTTCGTGAGCTCAAGCACTAGTGGCGACCTGCCGAGCCGCAACCGCTCTTGTCCAGCATGTGGCCAGGGTCATCCAGTGTGGCGATGCCCAACATTTCAATCGCAAAGTGTCACAAGGCGTTGGGCCACAGCACGAGGAGCCGCATTGTGCTACAGGTGTTTAGGCAGCGGGCATAGTGGGTCGAACTGCACACGCAGCCGCACCTGTGGGATCGACGGCTGCACGGAAACGCACAACCGCCTGCTCCACTCATCAAACAGTGACACCAGCATGGACCCTGCGGCGAGGAAACCAGCTGGAGCTCAGAGCAGTAACAACCAGGGTATGGCAAAGCCAAGAGCAGCACCCAGTCAACCAGACAGGTCAGGCCAGATGTCTGGGCCTCCCTCATCCTTCAGGAACACGGAAGGGGAGTCAGTGTCCGAAACCAGTGCGCATGCCAGAACGCATCACGGCCAGCAAGTTGAGCCACAGACAGCCCTGCGGACAGTGCCGGTGACCTTGGTAAACGGCAACCGCAAGATTGCGGTGAATGCCCTACTTGATGACGGCAGCACCGTGTCCTACATGAACAGTAGCATCGCAGCTGAACTGGGTCTGGCAGGAGAACAAAAGAGTATTACGGTGTCTGTCCTCAACGGAGCAGCGACAACGTTCAACACCGTCTCAGTGAACTGTCAAATCAGCAGCAGCGACGGAAGTGCCAGGTATGACTTCACGGCATGGACAACCAACAATGTGACCGCATCACTCAAGGCAATTGACTGGAACAATCAGCAAGATCGGTGGCAGCACTTGAGAGAGGTCCCATTCCCTCCTCTCAATGGAACAAAACACATCGACATACTCATCGGAGTCGACCATCCGTACCTACATGCATCGCTAGACGAGATTGCAGGAGGTCCAGGAGAACCTGTTGCACGAAGAACTCCACTAGGCTGGACTTGTGTAGGGCTCGTCAATCCCGACGCCACAGCCATCACATCACTGAACGGTCACAGTACGACAACCGCCAGTCTCGAGCAGCTCAACCAGGTCGTGCAGCGGTTCTGGGAGATCGATCAGAGCGGCACCCACCTACGCAGCCACGTGCAGTTGACAACAGCCGAGCAGCAGGCCACAGACCGCGTCGCAACATCGCTGATTGGCACTAGCAGCGGGCGCTACGAGATCCAGCTGCCATGGAACGCCAGGAAAGTAGAGCTCAGAAACAACTACGCTATGGCACTGCGCCGACTCAGCAGCACAGAGAAGCGACTGCAGCACAGCAGCGAAGTAGCAGCAGCATACAGCCAAGCCATCGATGATTACGTGCACAAGGGCTATGTAGAGCAAGTGCAAGCAGCGGACATCGCCAATTCCGGTTGGTTCCTGCCACATTTCCCCATTGTGCGTATGGACAAGAGTACGACGAAGGTACGCATGGTGTTTGATGCTGCTGCACATTATCAGGGCATTTCTTTGAACGACGCCATCTTGCCTGGTCCGAAGCTTCAGAGAGAGCTATTTGACGTGCTGCTACGATTCCGTCGAAACTCAGTAGCCCTGGTCTGTGATGTCAAAGAGATGTACTTGCAAATCGAAATACACCCGGACGATCGCAAGCACCTCCGGTTTCTCTGGCGTACACAAGACGAGGTCAACGTGTACCAATTCAATCGACTGGTGTTTGGACTCAACGTTTCACCATTCATCGCACACTACGTCATCCAGAACCATGCGCGGCAACATGCAGTGACGCACCCTCGAGGCGCCGAAGCAGTTCTGGAGTCAACCTACATGGATGACACACTGGATTCAGTGGAGAGTGACGAGAAAGCAGTTGAACTCTATCACCAGCTATCGTTTGTGTGGAGCACCGCCGGGATGAAAGCCAGAAAGTGGCTGAGCAACTCGCCAACAGTCCTGCAGAGCGTTCCGCAGGAAGACCGGCAATCATCAATCGACTTGTCAGGAGAGCTACCAACAACCAAGACGCTTGGTGTACAGTGGCGGCCTGACAGTGACCAGTTTGGCTTTACATTCTCGAAGCCAGCAGACAACAACATCACGAAGCGCCTAGTGGTGCGACACATCGCTACAGTGTTCGACCCATTAGGATTCCTAGCACCATTCGTTGTGCGTGGGAAAATCTGCATCCAGGAAATGTGGGTAGCCGGTCTGGATTGGGATACCCCAGCGCCAGAGGCAATAGCGGGCAAGGCTCGAGCTTGGTTGAACGAACTCTGCGACACAGATGCCATCGAGATACCGCGCTGTCTCTACCCGAATAGTGAAGCCCCGGACAAGGTACTGCACGTCTTCACTGATGCATCAACGCTAGCCTACGGAACAGTTTGTTACACAGTGTCAACCCTTGCAGATGGACAGGTCTGTGTTCGTATGGTTGCTGCAAAGACACACGTCGCACCGCTCAAGACCATCAGCGTACCCCGTCTTGAGCTGATGGGAGCCATGCTCGGCCTCCAGTTAGCACAGTCTACAGCTGAGGCACTCAAGATTCCGAAGTCAGCAGTTGTCTATTGGAGTGATAGCGTGGATGTCCTCTGCTGGATTCGCAACCCCAGTCGCATCCACAAGCCATTTGTCGCGCATCGTATCGGGGAGATACAGCTGGCAACGCAACCAGAACAGTGGCGCTACGTGCCAACGAAGTGCAACCCAGCAGACCTCGCGTCCCGTGGAACCTCAGTAACCAGCCTCATCACCAGCCAGCTGTGGTGGGAGGGACCGCAATTTCTGCAGCAAGAGCAATCGACGTGGCCACCAGCACCGGCACAGCTTTCATTGACGGACAATGCGAAGCAAGAAGTGAAGAAGGACCATCGGGCTACGGCATCACAGAGCCAACAACAGCAGACGTTCACAGGCAGCATCACTGCCGCCGACTTGGGACGCTTGGACCCGTCTCGCTATTCCGAGTTTAATCGACTCCTACACGTCACAGCCTGGGTGTTCCGGTTTATCCAGAATTGTCGCACACCGGCCAGCAAGTTAGTGACGTCCACGCTGACGGCAGATGAGCTGAAGGACGCAAGAACGTACCACTGCAGAACAGCACAGCAACAAGCGCTTGAGTACAACACCGTGAGGCAGAAGAACTCACTGCCCAAGGCCAGCAGTCTGAGGCAGTTCCAGCCGTTCATCGATGCGGACGGGTTGATGCGGGTTGGTGGTCGTCTTCAACATGCCGAATTTCTATCGTTCGACCAGCAGTGCCCGATAATACTGCCAAAGGGACACCGAATCACGCAACTCATCATCAAGTCGTACCATGATCGCGGGAATCATACGTGCGGCGTCAATCACATGCTATCGGAGCTATCAAATCAGTACTGGTTGCTCGGTGGGCGTGACGAGATGCGTTCCTGTGAGTCCAACTGTGCCAGATGCAAGCTACGAAAAGCATCACCAGCAGAACAGGTAATGGCTCCCTTGCCGAAGGTACGAGTCAGCCTGCCGCTACGAGCCTTCGCACGAGTCGCAGTGGACTACGCTGGGCCATTTACAACAAAGCAAGGACGAGGCAAGACCCGAGCCAAGAGGTACCTCTGTCTGTTCGCTTGCCATCTGACACGTGCCGTTCACTTGGAGCTAGCGTACGGCCTCGACGTGGACTCGTTCCTCCAAGCGTATCATCGCTTCACCAACCGGAGAGGAACGCCAGTGGAAGTCACATCCGACAATGGAACAAACTTTGTGGGCGCCAACAATGAGCTCCGTGAGTTGGCAGAGGCGCTAGACGTCGACAAGCTCCAGCGAAGCATGGCGCAAGAAGGCACTCGTTGGCACTTCAACCCACCTAGTGGACCGCACTTTGGTGGCGCACACGAAGCACTGATCAAGGTGGCGAAACGAGCTTTGTCTGCCACACTCAGCAACCGCGATACGACTGACGAGGAGTTGTACACCGCCATTACCGGTGCTGAAGCGCTGATGAACTCCCGCCCATTGGGATACCAGTCAGCCGACCCACGTGATCCGTTACCGCTAACACCGAACCATTTCTTGCATGGGCAGCAGGGCATGCCATTCGTCCCAGCAGGCACTGACGAGACGCAATGGACACTCAAACAGCGATGGCGGATGGTCCAGGACATCGTACTTCAATTCTGGCGCCGCTGGATGAAGGAAATTGTGCCAGAGCTGAACCGTCGCAAGAAGTGGACTCAGACCAAGCCAGATCTCACCGTCGGAGATGTTGTGCTAGTCGTGTCACCAGACACAGCACGAGGAGAGTGGCCACTAGCAAGAGTGGCGGAAGTGTACCCAGGCAGTGATGGGCATGTTCGAGTCGTGAAGATCAAGGTCCGAGGGAAGTATCTGACACGGCCTATCACTCGACTGTGCCGTATTGACGCGGAGTGAGCAGTAAGAGAATTAAGTCAAAGTGTGTATGAATATTCGACAACGCATTGCTCGTTTGCTCGTTATGTTCGGAGTGTTTTTTCATTATTGTTTGTGGTTATCATAGTGCAGTTTAGCCTATGCACCCGTTTGCATGTTGTCAAGCAGTATGCTATTTTGATTCGCGTAGTGCATGAGTTAGTTGCTATTTTATTTATTGATGCTATCGTTGAGCTGGCATGTTGCACTTTAAGATCAATCCCAGCAGCAAGCAGTATTGGATTGAAGAAGGGGAGAGATGTTCAGGACTCGCCTTCACTACTATGCAATATTTGCCATTATGCCAGATTACGCTGGCACTTGCAGTGCACTAATTATTTCTTGTTTCTATATGCTTGAGTTGTATCTGTCGTGTATCTTTCTTGGCTCGATATGAGTCCGTTTATAGTTGTAGCCATCCTGTCCCAGCCGGCAGGGGGTCGCACGGGTTCATGACCTTTACGTTTCCGGCGTTTGTACATTTCTGTTGTACCAGCGCTGCTGCTAATTTGTCGTAGGTTGCGCATATGGCCCTGCATGTGCCGTACGCGCGGCGTTTTCTTTGCTTTTGTATTTGCTGTTTCTCCCTGCTTGGGGGAGTTGTCGTGAGAGAGAAACAGAGTGAAATGGAAGAAAGAAGTCGTTTGGAGTTTGTCGTAGAACTACTAGAAATAGCATAAGCGTGATTCCGCCACGCAGTTCATATTCGGAACAAAGGCCCTGGGCGGAAGCGTTGGTGACGGTCCAGAACATGGGCGCTAATGATTGGGTTGTCACATTCGGACATGCACCAGCAAGTATAGTACAGGGTTGGGGTGACCCGTTGCACTAGAAGCATCCAGTGCTGTAACCTTTGCGATGTTTGCAGCTATGCCGAGCAGTTATCTCCTGGGTTCCGACTGCTGCTCCGTGGAGATGATAGTAGGGCACTAGACAGCGGCTTTGTAAATTGCCATTCTGGAATGCTACCTCAGAGCAGCCGATGATGGTGACGTTCTTGCACAGCATGTTGTTGGTACCACAATCACAGCAAGTTCACTGGTGATGATTAACTTCTGGCCGCGTGTTGCATGTTTCTGAGATTCGTAGATAATGACGCGCGCGTGCATGAGTGTGTGTGTTTATATGTATGTATGCGTGTGAGCATCTGCATGTGCGCATCCACGTGTGTGTGTGCGCGCGCGCGTGTGTGTCGTGCACATGTACACGTGTATGCGCGCGTGTGTGTGAGCATTTGCATGTGCGCATCCACCTGTGTGTGCGCGCGCGCGTGTGTCGTGCACATGTGCATGTGTATGCGTGTATGTGTGTGTGTGTGAGCATTTGCATGTGCGCATCCACCTGTGTGTATGTGCGTGCAAGCGCGCACGCGTGTGTGTGCGTGCACATGTACACGTGTATGCGTGTGTGTGTGAGCATTGGCATGTGCGCATCCACCTGTGTGTATGTGCGCACGCGTGTGTGATGAATGCGCGCATGTTCGCACACATGTATGTGTGTGTGTGTGTGCGCGCGCGCGCGCGCGCGAACAGAGAGTCACATGTGTGTGTGTGTGCACTCATGCACACTCGCATACATGTGAGTACACGCTTGCAAGCGTGTGTGTGCGTGCGCGCGTGTACACAAGCTCGCTCACATGCACGTGCGCGCATCCACCTGTGTGTGTGCGCGCGCGTGTGTCGTGCACATGTACATGTGTGTGTGTGAGCATTTGCATGTGCGCATCCACCTGTGTGTATGTGCGTGCAAGCGCGCACGCGTGTGTGTGTGCGTGCACATGTACACGTGTATGCGTGTGTGCGTGTGAGCATTGGCATGTGCGCATCCACCTGTGTGTATGTGCGCACGCGTGTGTGATGAATGCGCGCATGTCGCACACATGTATGTGTGTGTGTGTGCGAACAGAGAGTCACATGTGTGTGTGTGTGTGTGTGTGTGTGTGTGCGTGTGTGTGCACTCATGCACACTCGCACACATGTGAGTACACGCTTGCAAGCGTGTGTGGGCGTGCGCGCGTGTACACATGCACGTGCGCGCATGTATGTTCTATCTTGTTATGTTGCCTATCCCATGCTCTCCTTTGGTGCTGCCACGTAGACGTCTGTCGTAGTTCCTGTCAGAAGTGCATGCGGAACTGACAGTGATTGTCATTCTACCTTTGTTTCAAACAACGTCTCGTTTTCGAGTTACATGATCTCTCACAGGATCCACAAAGTATTTTGTGCAAAAGCAGCTAGGCTCACCTGAACCAGTGAAGAACGAGTACCGGAACAAACAAGCTGGCAAACTGCAACGGAGTTGACACCACCAGCAGATAAATACTAAATAGGCCAGGCAGAGTACCGACATGGGTGATGATGATCTTGCACGTCCGGTGACTGGTCACTGGTGCATACGGCCGTGGCACTGGTAGTCAGGACTCAGGGACGCGGAGGCCGACTTGTCAGCAAGCAACATCTCGCCTACTCTGCCGGAATCTTCGCTCGACCTCAGTCAGACCTGGAAATATACTTTTGAAACTTTGCTTGCACGCGTTGCAGAATTGCCGGAGTAGGCGCGAGTATTATTGTGCACTATTGCTGGTACACACTCTATGTTGCGCTTTTGTCCAGAAGCGCCATGCTTCGTGACTAGTGGACCTGACGATGGCAATACTATTCTCACTTTCAAAGCCAAAATCGTTATGAAAATGTATGTCACGCTTTGAGAAAGTAAGCTTGCAGCGTCGTCATCTTCTGGACAGGCGCATAGTCACTGACTTGGAATTTTGAGCGTGCGCACCTACTTCTCAAACCGAGAAGTCGGCTGAGAACGAAAAACATTTGCGCCTAAATGCTTGACAATTGTGAATTTGATCGTCGAACAAAATGCGTCCTCGCGATGTCCGTGCACAGCTTTGGGATGGCCAAGAACTCGAAAGCCCTTCTCTGATAGATGTACTTGTACTTTGTAGTACTGGGCTGCAGCCTGCATGCAGTGCACTATGACTCCGGTGCGGCGCTGTCTTTTAGTAAAAGACAGCGCCGCACCGGAGTCATAGCTAGCTGTCTGTACGAGACTACGACTACATGTCAGTACAGTCGACTCCCGATCCCCGCGGCCAGGTGGCATCGCTACAGACACGTACGTAGACGTCAGTACAGCCCTGCCCGGGCGCCCCCAGGCGCTAGGCTGCATGCGTGTAACAGACAGACTCAGTGCTACACCATCACGTCACCCTCCTTTGCTGAGCTGAGCCTGAGGAGGGAGACACAGGAAGTACATGACTGTACAAGTATATACAGAAGCCTTGCTTGGTAGTTAAGGTGGCTCACACCCTCTGCGCGCGCATCGTTTGAAAAGTGTAGATTTTCAGTAAATATTTCGGTAGCGATGATTTTTGTGCGATCAATCGTTAACGCGTTGTAGGAAACGTCTTCTCGCTTTTCTGCAATTCTGGCGACCTAGCTAGAACCTGCTGCTAGTGTCCCTCTTCACTCGTTCTTTCTATGAAAGGGGAAGGCAGCACTCGCAGAAGATTTTCCAAGAATGCAATGTCGACTGGTGCTCGTACTATAAGAAGGGAGAAATCAAAGTCCGCTCTTGAATCACGCCTGAGTCTTAGAAAATTATTTCAGAATACGCTTGTGTAGATTTCCTGCCAGTGCCACTGACATCTCGCGACCTTCAAATATAACTTGCTCGATCATCTCCCGCACTGACTGGTAAATTCGTCGGGTAGCTGTGGATGGATCGATTCAGGGAGATCGAAGGTAAATACATCGAAGCACTTCAAACACGTTTCAAGACGCACTTCAAATTTTGTAATTGTGTCTTGAAAATTGTTTACAACAATTCGTACTTCAATACGCTGTTGAATTGTATCCTCTGCTTGGGAGTCTCGACTGTTTTATTGCTGCATGGCTTTCCTCAACACCGTTCACTGTACATGTATCGCGGAACGCAGATTGGATGGCATTGGAGGTGAATTTGATAATTTGTGACTGTGTCATCAACCAAGTGAGGACATCAAATATCAACAGGGACGCTCCGAAAATCACAAACGCTGCGAAATAGGTATGAAATGGTCTTACACACTGGTGGGTATTCCATATTCATTGTGTCATATCTTTAGACTGTCCGAAAGTTTGTCGTGCCGTGCAACTTTCACAGACTAATCCGATAATTGGCATGTGGCCCTATCGGCACACACTCATGCGTATGCCGCTGAGTCTATCTATATGTGCACGCACATGTGTGTATACTTACACAATTTTATTACGTATGCAAAATTAGGCAATCTACATGTATATGTGTGTGCACTCACTCCTATGACATAGAACGACAGTGCAGGCTATATAGAGTCGCACGAATGTGTGTTACCCGGGTGTGTATATGCATGCGCACTCGCGCGGGCGTTTTGTGTGCGCGCCTGGCATGGCATAACGCCGTTCAATATGATTAGTGTTGAACCGTGGTAATTTGCCCCGCCCCTTCTTTTTTCTATTGGCGTTGGATATGCAACTAATGACATAAACTCGGTTGTTGAAAACGAGTGCCATGCCGCACCACAATGGATTGACAATAATATAATACAAGTAGCGCTGTAAACGCGCTGGTAATACTCATGTTGCAGCCATGGCAGTTGTGATTAGCTTTCCAAGTCAAGCCTGCTGCAGAAATTATTGCACTCTGACCAGCTGGAGTGGCCCAGGACTGCAGGTTGTGGAGAACAGGAGTGATGCTTGTATATACGCTTGTATTTACATGATGGACTTCGAAGTAACGTTAGGTGTATTACTTGTATGTTCTTCTGCCTGTGCACGTGTACATGTGCTGGTCAGTGTGGAACCGCCATCCATATCAGATCATACAGCTCAGCTGCTATCAGTCTCAACAGCTTATATCTGGCAAATAGGGTTTTAGTGACTCAATTTTGCTCACTGTGTTCAACAGAGTGGCATTGCACACAGCTACTTTATGTAATAGTAGCATCTTGGAAATTTTATATTTTTGATAGTTAGCTTCAGTAGAAACTTCTCCAGTGTGGCTCTTAGCTTCATTACCACGGAGACTAAGCATTCAAGAAATGCACGAAGAACAGTGGCTAGATGCGAAGTGAAAAGCCATTGGACCGTACCCAATGGAATACGCATTTAGTATAGCAGTATTGCTTGCTATGTTGGCAGCAAACACTGTATAATAATAATTACATTACCAGTAGAAAGTGCCCAATGTGCATTGCTTCAGCACTGTGTTTTGGACAAAGCAGTCACAAAATTCCACATCAGTATTGGCTTCATGTTGGAGAAAGTTGTGAAAAACACTAGAGCATACATGTGCACCCAATACACATGCTCAGCTACATGTATGGCATTTAGTATGTGGGCGACTTAAAAGTTCTATTTTGGTAGTTAGCTTCGGTAGAAACTGTCTAAACTTGATCCAAAGCTCTACTACTATGTTCTGAAGATGTTGCAATCAAGTAATGTAAGACACGTATCTGCCGCATTGGAGCTAGTTGTGAAAACAGTTAGACCATACACACAATACACATGCTCAGCTATGGCATTTAGTATGTGTGTGACTTCAAAGTTCTATTTCGGTAGTTAGCTTCGGTGGAAACTGCTAAAACTTGATCCAAAGCTCTACTACTATGTTCGGAAGATGTTGCAATCAATTATTGCAAGATACGTATCTGTCATATGGTGGAGTCAAGGGTTCTAAGGCGTTGGACAATGTCCCAGTGCAATGTGCTGATTCTTGAAAATATGGCATCACTTGACACTTGAAAGTTTTATTTCAAGAGTTACCTTCGGTAGAACCTGCTCAAACTTGCTACACAGTACCATTATTAGGTTATGATAGCATAACCATCGAATACAGGGCAAGTCCAGTGTCAAATACTTGTAGGCGGGGCTAATATGTGGGACGTGTGCGCTGAAATGGGATGATTCCGAAAAGAGAAAAAGGTCACCTTCTAGCAGAATTCTACCCACTTCTAAAGCTTATGCTGGTATTTAGCAAGTATACTACTGTCCTGATGTTGGACATCAAGAAAAACGGGGTAACTACGAGTGCTATGGCCAAAAAAGTGGTTTTCCGGTGTTTTTTGCCTAAATTGGCAATTGTGAGTATGCTATGTTTGGCCCCTCCCCCGAGTGAAACCGGCCGGTAGAACTTGATAAAATTTTGTCTCCGTACACTAGATATCCTACGGAACAAAGTACAATCGTTTGTAGCCACGTTTCAAACAAAAAAAATTTGGACCCGAGGGGTAGGAGCCACCTTAACATGTTTTTCGATTTTGACAGCATGTTACAAGGCGAGGACGCGTAGTGCTCCTGACTACAACCATAAACCGGTTGGCAGAGTCCCGGTCTTGCGACCATTTGAACCGTATTGGGAAAACCCAGGTTCGGACCCTCGTTACTCTACGGGTTGGTAGGATTTTTATAATTTTCGTTTTTTTTTTTTTTTTTGTGTTGTAGAAGTCGTCGTGTTGCCGCCGTAGTATTGTTCACGTTGCTGCCGCTGCAGGGATCACGTCTGGAAGGATTTGTGATGTTATTTTCTTGTCTTCCTCTGTAATTAAATTATTTGTGATTTATTTCTTTTTTCTTTTGTTCTTTTGTTCTTTTTCTTTTTTCTTGTCTTTTTTCAACTTCTGCCCATGGCGTCCTTCTCTCAGCTCGTCAGCTGTAACAGTCATAGTCATCACCATGACGACTGTTGTGAGAAGGTGCTCGCTGCCGACGAGGTTGGTGATGTCCCGACGAGGCCATGGGTAGGCCTTCACCACGTCGGAACACCCCGTCTGCACACCTGGGTTTTCCCAATACGGTTCAAATGGTCGCAAGACCGGGACTCTGCCAACCGGTTTATGGTTGTAGTCAGGAGCACTACGCGTCCTCGCCTTGTAACATGCTGTCAAAATCGAAAAATGACTGTACAAGTAGTTACTCTGAAACAGGGAGTCGTAAAATACGACTCCCTGCTCTGAAACCTGCTACATTGTACGTGTATTATTGTATTGTACTTGTAGTATACGGTAGTATCCGTGACGTCAGATCAGACCTCACTGTGGTGGTAAGCAGTACACAGTCATGTGCTAAAAGTCACTGACTGGACCGAGTCTGTCCCAGCTAGCTTGTGACACAGACGTGACAGAGACTCAGTGCAGGACATGCCCCGCAAAGAAGCATAATACATGTAATCATAACAAGTGACCACAAGTAATAATTAGTTTAAAAATGAGGAGAAGTCACCGCCATGCCCATGGCCTTACATACTGTATTAACTACTGGTATTATGGCTGGAGCTCGAAAGTAACGATGTGAAAAGACGGTTTGAGTACTTCGAGTAAATAAAAATGAAGACTGTATTCACAACAGGATCGAGGGCTAGGCTCAGCTTTTGCAGCTCTACGCCATGTTTTTCTGGGACGAAGATGGCGGCTTTGCCACGCGTCATATCACTATCACTGTATCAGCGTCGTGCCTGTTCCGTGTTCGTTACATGGTCGATACGCGATTATCGATCATCACTGACATCGCGATATCGGCAACATCAGACAGTAGTCTACAACTCATGCAAAATAATGCTGCACTAGGCATGGCCGCATAGGCCGACCCAAGCATGCATTGCAAGGGCAAGGACCTAGCTCATTATGTACATGTAGACTTTGTAGTACCAAGAGTACTCTTGGTAGTACCGGTAGCTGATCCAGTCGCGCCATCTGACATAACAAGACCAGTTACACTTACTCTTTACACATGCTGACTGCTGAGTGCTGTAGCTGTCCGCGCCGCGTGCTGTCTCAGGTTGATATGATGCATATTCATGAATGCCCAGTTCGAGGATAAAAAAAATGCTAGGGAAATTCCCCCGGCCCCAGACTCGAAGAAAGAAAAGAAAGCCATCTGCGTTTTCTGCTCTCGTTCCCGCGGCCCGCGATACGAACAACCAACAAAACTCTCACCACAACAACAACACAACCGATCCGTGTGTGTGTCAGTAACACGATAATTATATTAGTATAATTGTAGTAACAGTTGAGTTGTGAGTCTGTACTGCTCGCCACGTCCGGTCAAGTACACGCTGATCTACTGTCACGGACGTCGACGGGTCACGTCGTTCCATGGCTTTGCTGTGTTTGCTACAGAACAGTCTGGATCAGTAGAGTGTAGAGAGATCTACGTACGATTGCATGCAGTAGAGGGGTTCTCGCCCCCGCGATCGAAACTCCGTCGCAGCTAGCTGCTACTGCTAGTGAAATCTACCCTGTTCGAAACATTCTTTGAAATAATTTTCTAAATGCGTTGACTGTATTGCTCTCCTCTCTAGTTGGAAAGTCGAAGCTCAACAGCAGATTTAACGCTTCGCCACTGTAGTACCAATAGTACATGAGCGCAGCGAAGCCAGGATCATACTTCCACGTAGTCGTTGCACCCGGCCTGGTGTTCGGGATTTCCTGGAAGCACGTCTGATAATACTCGCATAATTCCCTAGTCAAATATGTCGGACTGGGGCGAGCAGGCTGATCTTCAGCAACAAACCTCTCCGGCGGCGGCGCCCTCGCAGGGGGTGAAGCGGACGACTGCGAACACAGATGCAGCTGCTCAACCCCCTCACGCCGCAGCGATGGGTGATCAGGGGGCTGTTTCTACTGCTGCTGCTGCTGGTCAAGCTCATGGTGCTGGTCAGCTGCCGAGTTTTTTCACGTCTGGACCGCTCAGCCAACCATTCACTTCAGGGTTTGACGATTGGGATTTGGCAGCAAGCGAACAGGAGCATGGCTACACACAGGCCAGCAGCCAGCCTGCTGCCCAGCAATCCACGTCTCCAGTCAAGCCAGCTCCTGTGGCTGCTGCTCAGTCTGCTCGGCCTACGGCACAGCCCAACCCTGTCCAAGCCCCTGCCCCTCAGCCTGTTCAGCCTGCCGCGGGTAGTAATACGACAGCTCAAGCGAACACTTCACACAGTGTTATGCCAGCAGCACCCTCAGCGGCAGCGGTGACTCAGCCGAACACGGCAGATCCAGTGCCAGCGATGACTGCTGCTAAGCAAGCCGATGCAACTAGCGGCACTGACGCTGCTGAAGACGCTCCAACAACAGCCGAGACATCCCTGCTGAACAAGCTTCTGCGGGAGAAGCTCGTTGACAATACACAGTCTATAGAAGTGCAGCGCTCTAACCCGGACAGTCCTCTCTACTCTGTGAAAACGTTTGAAGAGCTGCGGCTATCGAAGGAAATCATGCAAGGCGTGTACGGCATGGGATTCAACCGACCGTCCAAGATCCAAGAAACCGCCCTGCCACTCCTCCTGGCTGATCCACCGCCGAATCTGATTGCGCAATCGCAGTCGGGTACCGGCAAGACTGCAGCATTCGTCCTGGCAGTGGTCAGTCGCATGGACAAGAGCAAGAAACATCCGCAGGCACTCATACTGGCACCTACGCTGGAACTCGCCAAACAGATCGGAGACGTCTGCCAGAGAATGACCAAATTCTGTCCGGAGATTGCAGTGACGTTTGCGGTGCGAGGAGAGAGACCGTCGGGCCCGGTCACTGGACAGGTACTGATCGGCACACCGGGGACGGTGCTGGACTGGTCCAAGAGGCGCTACGTTGACCTGAAGAAGATACGTGTGTTTGTTCTGGACGAAGCCGATGTGATGATCGCTCAGCAGGGCCACCAGGATCAGTCTGTGCATATACGCAAGGGCCTGGACCTTGCCAGCACACAGTTCATGCTCTTCTCAGCCACCTATGATGACGATGTCATGGGTTTCGCGCAACGAATCGTGTCCGATCCGATCGTAATCAAGCTGAAGCGGCAAGAGGAGAGTCTAGACAACATACGGCAGGTCTATATTGAGTGCCGCAACGAGCTGGAGAAGTACGAAGCCTTGAGTAATATCTACGGGCTAGTCAGCATTGGCCAGGCAATCATCTTCTGCCCCTCTCGCAAGTCGGCCGCGTGGCTCGCTGAGAAAATGCATGGTGACGGTCATGCGGTGGCGATGCTGACTGGCGAGCTGGAGACAGCGCAGCGCATTGCCATCCTGAACCGCTTCCGACAGGGCAAGGAGAAACTGTTGATCACCACCAACGTCTGTGCGCGCGGCATTGACATCGACCAGGTCACCGTGGTCGTCAACTACGACATACCGTACGACGTTGTGCGACAGAAGCCCGACGTGGAAACCTACCTGCATCGCATTGGACGCACTGGGCGATTCGGGAAGTCCGGCCTGGCAATAAACTTTGTGGACGGCAGCCGGAGCATGCGAAACATGAGGTTCATCGAGGAGCACTTTGGCAAGAAGATTGAAAAGATCGACAAGACCGACAACGACCAGATTTCCAGTCTCGGTCAGGGTGACTAAACTGGTGATCCGGTGCTTATAGACGCACACCCAGCTGCTTCCTATGGGTGTGAAATTGTGTTTTCGCGTAGTTAGCGGCTATTGGAAGCTCTCCTCAAACAAGAGTGGGAATGTAAACCAAGCATCTGGAAGAATTGAAGGTTAGTGTCACTCCATTCCGTGTGGGAAGGAAGCCAGAAGTTGCTTTCCGAAACCGTCAAGTACCTTGCTCTTGATTGGACCCCCCCCCCCCTGTTTTCCGCTTGAGTACGGTTCTTGTTGTTATCTGCTTTGTGTACTACACCCTTTGCACTGGGATAGATGTATGTCCTAGGAAGATGGTAGTGCACTCGCGGTGGCAATCATCAAAACTGGTGGCACTGTATCTATCTCGTTAGGCTGGTTCCAACAGGTGTCCCGGCTGTGGAAATCTCCCGGCTGTGGAAATCTCCCCGCTGTCACTCCCTACCTCCTTTAGAATAAAACATATTAAAAAAGCCTTGAATAACACCACTGCTGCCATCATGCTAGTGCTTGACTTACCATGGTTACGTGGTGGCTCTAACTTAGCCTAAGTGTTGATTACTGATTAGCATCTCTCGGGAGAGAACCATGCCTATCCTGCCTTGATCCTTTCCGTTTGCGACCTACTTGTAGTCCACTGAGTTGACATTTTCTTTTTGTGCTTTGGAATAAAGAGCTTTAGGAGAATGTGTGTACGCATACTGACCCCCGTCCCCTTCCTCTTTTATTAAATTTTGTTAGTAGTGCCTTCAAAATTATTCCCACCGAGGCCCCTTTATGCATTTTCCCCATTTTCTTAATATTTTCCTCTTTACCTTTCACCTTGAGCCCATCAAATCCTGGAGTCAGTATACTTTTTAGCGTTTTATTCGTTTTTGCCGCTAGGGTTAACCAGGTGTTAGCGGATTTTCTGGTACTAGTATTATAATCAGACGTTCTGCTCCACGTGAAACGCAGAGTAATCAGGCCAAGAGAAGTATCTGGGTTCTGCAATTTGACGTGTTTGGGTTCCAGATTGGGATCACTAAAGTTGTGGCACACACAAGGAAACTGTCATGCATACATATCCAGTGTGCAGCACTAGAATTCTGTAGCCGGCCATCAAATCAGAAAACTGCTGCATTCAGAACGAGAAATTCCCAGCACATATCCACACAATTTTTTAGGGTGGACATAAAGCAGAACATCTTTTTTTGTGTGCAATACATGAAGCTCAAAAACACGAGTACCGAAGTCTTTGCGTTACGCTCCTGCCACCTATAGCAGAAACTCTACACCAGAAAATTAGCCTTTGCACCAGACAGCAGTTATAGAATGATCAATGGACATGCAAGCCGTTTGGATTGATTTTCGGATTTTCGGTGCACACACATACCACGCTAATTTTGGGTTTTCAGCCAGTGCAGTGGTGCCACATGATCACCAACAAAACACCCATGATACAGTGACACAAACACACACACGCGCGCGCGCGCAAACACCAACACAAGTTACGCAGCCCCCATCAATCTATTGTGATGAGATAAAAGCAACCATTGAGAGCTGTGCACTCGAACTCACCTTCACGCTGCAGTGGAGTGTGAAAGTTTTCTTTTAAAGGAATAGCTTGAGAGCTTCGGCACACCAACAACAAAAACTACAGTTTAGTGGGGTGTCCCCACACAGCAACCTACAAGAATTAGTAAGTCTATTGATGAAAGTAGAATAGAGAATAGGAAATGAAGACCCGCTGCATTACCTTCTTCTCATGGATATGACGAGAAAGAAAGGTGATGGCGGGTTGTGGGATAGCAAGAGACTAAAACACCTAGAGCACAGGTACTCCAAGCTGCTGCCGACACGTGGGTCGATGTCTGAGCACGCAGAGATAGCTATGATCCTCTGCTGACACACTAGCTAGCAGTATGGGAATGCAGAGGTGTACGGGAATGTGGCCAAGGCAGAAGCAGCGCAGAATACAAGTAGCCACACAGAGCCATCCAGCATCGGAATATCATACATATATACAGGGGGGGGGGTGCGGAAAATAGCAGGTACATATACGTTGAAAGTAGAATTGAGGGAATAGCAAAAAGTAGAAAATAGCCATTGAGAATCAAGGATGGGAAAAAGCCATCATATTATTTCTTACGCCAGTTAAAGTATACAAAAGCACAGCAAAACGAAGATAAAAATGGTTAAAAGCCAGATGCGCAAAATCATAGCGAATGGGTTGAAATATACAGCACACCGAGTGAACTAAAACCGAGGTGTGACTTTGTCTGTTGCCGAGCCGTCCGACTTGGCGCTATCCTCTGCTGCGACGGGTAGCAATGTGAATTTGGCACTGTCCTTCGAAGCGGCAGCAGTACGGTCTGATGGCGGCAGCTTGATGTGGAACTTCTGCAAGCACTCGGCAAGAGCAGTGGCGTCGGAGGTGTAGAACGCACAGCACGCGTTGTGGAAGAGAACAAGCTGGTTCTGCATCACTTTGGTCTGCAGTAAAAGAACACAAACACACACTTACTTACTTACCGTATATTCTCTATTATAAGCGCCGTGCTTATATTTTTTCAACACCCCTCTACCCCGTGCTTATATTGGAGACCGTGCTTATATTTTTTCAACCAATACATCCATACAGAGCAAGAAGAAATACATGCTGGATATCATGCATGCAGCATTGATTTCCACCAAGACAGTGCTAATAATAGAGACTGTGCTTGTAATGTTTCGAAAGGTGCTCACAGTGTGCTAGTATTAGAGACTGTGCTAGTAATGGAGACCTGTGCTTATAATAGAGAATATACGGTATACACCTGCCCATCACTGAAGCGATGATAGCGAGCGAACAAGCTATGTTAAAGGGGAAGTTCACCCTAAAATGAAAACTTCACAACTTGTAGCGAAAAATGCACTGATTCCAATGGTGAAGGTCCCAGGTTGATAGGAGCAACCGTTCCCGCGTTATACCTGCTTGAAGTTTGCACTAAATTTGGTGACATCATGATGACATCATCAACTTGCCTAAACCAGGCCAGATTTATGACGTCAGAGAGATAGACTTTGTATGGGAGCAGATGGGGAAATTTCAGTATTTTGGCTCTCCGTTGTCCCAACGAATTCGGATATTTTTCAAACTTCGGTATGGGACGTATGACACCCTACTGGTACAGTCAGACCTCGCTTATCCGGTCCTTTTTTATCCGGATCCCTCGCCATCCGGAAGAAAATAGCTGGTTACATATTTACAGCATGCGTGATGCATCCAACATAAACGGTGTTCGGTTATCCGGTTCCCTCGCCTATCCGGATGTTTTTGTGGAAAACAGATGTGTGCGGTTATGCGAGGTCTGACTGTATCCCAACTGGAAAAAATCTGGTATGAAATTCATTGTTGCAGAGAAACAAGAAAGAAATTGGTTTTTCCCCATCTACTCCCATACAAAGTCTATCTCTCTCAGTCGATGCGCCAAGCCAGCTGAGTGGGTCTTTTTATTTTTTTCGCGCGAAAGTTTATGTGGTGAACTGTGTTGGTAAAGATGAAGATGTCAGTCAATGAAATTTGCTATATTTCTTGTGTCTAACCAACCCTGTACGGATCGAACTGACGATTCCCGAGTGCGACAAATGTCCTGAAGTCTGCTCCTATTAGCTAGGTATCTAGAAATTTCAACTTGAGTGTCAAGTGAAGACTTTGCCAGTTGCAGACGAGGGAATTCTCGCTTCACGATTTTCCTGGTGTGTGGAGATACGTCGGAATGCCGACCCACCACACCCGACATGATGCTTCGGCCGGAATGCAGGTTGGTGCAGATAATTGCCTAATAATATATGTCTAAGCGTGTATACCTTTCCTTTCGTTGCATGCTTGGTTAATCCGACGGCACGAAATTATAGACATTTCGAAATTAACTTGAATATTATTTGGTCGTTGTATGTCTTAGTATTCCCTGTCAGTTTGTGCCTTTTTGTCGCGCTCGCCGACTGTATATGATCTAGCGACATTGGTACATGGTGGACAGTTAGTCATAACTCGTAACATTTTTGTCCTTATTCTTTTTATCCATGATTACATTGGCTCACCATCCGAGTTTATTTATATATTTTTGATAGGGCAATATGTAATGTACACACACACACACACACACACACACACACACACACACACACACACACACACACACACACACACACACACACACACACACACACACACACACACACACACACACACACACACACACATACACACACCACCCACACACCACCACCACACACACAGTGACACACACACCACACGCACACACCATCACACCATCACATTACGACAAAATCAAGGCAATGCCGGCGAAGCTCTATAATTTTCTTGTGCCGCGTGCCAGGAGCATAATGGCATTGCCCGGTAATAGCACTTGGTGTAGATGGGTTCCCATGTTCACACACACATACACACACACACACACACCACACACACACGCACACACCATCACATTACGACAAAATCAAGGCAATGCTGGCGAAGCTCTATAATTTTCTTGTGCCGCGTGCTAGGAGCATAATGGCATTGTCCGATAATAGCACTTGGTGTAAATGGGTTCCCATATTTGTGAAGTACATGTATTATTCGGTTGCTGGCTATCAATTGTGCTGTGAGCATGGCAGAGTGAGGTCTTCCAGCTTTGTTGGTGTTTGCTCTATCTTGTGTTTACGCTCTGCAGAAAGGATCATATGTAGTGCCTTCTCAGCATTACATTACATCCATTGCGTAGCAGCAATGTGCCATCCTTCCGCGACTTAGGTGGAATGACGTGCAAGTGGTGCTCCAGGGTCAACTTCAATTTGCCGAGCACGTATGCCGCTGGCTTGGGGTCAGCAGCTGGGTGCAAAGTCTCTGTATACAAATCGTGCACTGTCGTCAACAATATGGCATCCTTGTCCAGCAATTCCCATCCTGTAGCGGCAATGACTATAATATTGGGGAAATCACTCTCGGCACCTTCCGTGCTGTACTGAGAGATGATGCTTCGCAATTGGTGGTCTGTGCTTGGTGCATTGTCGGCAGGGAGCATGTCAATTTGCTTTTGGTAGCAGCGTCTACAAAATCGACTCTCGTCTGAAATCCTGACATGGTGCATGCTACGCAACACATGCTCTGCAAGCTGAAAGTTTGGTGACTTCCACCTGTGTTCTGGTGTGAGTCTCGACTTACACCAAGCACATGTTGCATGGCCCACACACTGCTGGTAATGGGTTGGGCACAGAAGCGGTTCGCACTGTTCTTTCAGACTGTGCACGCGCAGTTTGTCTGCAGGACAGTGTACGGATGCCGCTCCGCTGCAATCATGTACACTGCATGTGCTTTGGCTGACTGGTGGCTTATTTTCTTTCGCTGCTGTGCATACTTGGCGTCGTAGTGCTTTGACGCACTTGCAATAAATGCATTGGCCTGACGTGATGGATGTGCATGTGTGTAGCTTTTGCCAATCTGACAGCATTGCGTCATGTGTAAATCGCTTGTCAGATGGCACTTTGGAGCAAATGCTTCATTCTGGGCCACATGGTCGTCAAGTATGTATGCTTGTGCCAGTTGTGGCATTGCTGGGTCTTCCTGCCGCTGACATCTGTGCACACATGCATGGAAAATATACGTAAAAACACTAGTTAGAAATCACGTCACCAGAGGCATGCCTTTTTTTCGGCCAGAACATAACTTCCGCTCCAATGTCACAAAGACTTACTCTTTCGATACGTCCAGCATAGAAGCAGCGAAATGCCTGGTTAATTCGGTGGCACGAAATTATAGGTCGGGCGACGAAATTTCGACGAAAAAAGGAAAAGAGACAAACCGACGTGTAGCGACACCAAACTACAGAATTTCGTCGTTCTTGAAGAACTCATAACAGAAAAAGGTGAAAGGCGACTACTGAATCCTCGAGTGTGACGAATAACTCCGAGAAAGCGTGAGACTGGCCAGCACGTACATACATGAAAACGATCGTATGTTGAGAATGCCTTGAGAAAAGTGCCCAAAAAGGGTGGATCTGAAAAATAGAACTCTGTGTTCCGACGTGATTTTTCAAATCTGGCGCATCGACTGCTCTGACGTCATAAATCCGGCCTGGTCTGGGCAAGTTAATGACATCATCATGATGTCACCAAATTTAGTGCAAACTTCAAGCAGGTATAACTCGGGAATGGTTGCTCCGATCAACCTGGGACCTTCACCATTGGCATTGGAATCAGTGCATTTTTCGCTACAAGTTGTGAAGTTTACATTTTAGGGTGAACTTCCCCTTTAACATAGCAACTTGTGCTGGGATTACACTATTCAACAGCTTACAAGGCTGATGAATAGATGATATGCCAAATAACGCGCAACTAGACTTGAGAGGGCATCGCACACAAGTTGCATACATATTATACTACAATTTGTACATGGTAGGCCCTGAGCTCTGCAGGAATGCAAGTCACAGGTAGCCGTACAACTTTGAACTTTGCATGCAACTACTCTGCAATGCCCTCTCAAGTCTAGTTGCACGTTATTTGGCATATCATCTATTGACTGCCACACATTTGAGTCCGGTCTACACCACACCCACCCACACCCACACACGTACAGGACAACATGACGATAAAAGAAGAGTGGCGGGTTCAAAAAGGCATCCTGCAAAATTTACCTGATGTACAACCACAGAGTACGGCAAATTACACTCCTATATGGCCATGCGGGGATAGCGTGTGCATCAACTTGTACATATAGCATGCAAAGACAAAAGACAAGACAACCTGACTTTCCTTCTTCTTCCCTTCCTAGGTCCTGATGCTGGTTAGTGGAGAAAACATTGATTTTTCCGAACTAACAAAATCGAGGGTGGTTGATTTGCAGAAGGAGTGAGACTTTTACCTTACAGTACTGTCAGGCGCCGAAGAACGGCCAAGCTAGAATTTCACCAATTTTTAAGAACGGTCTAGGCTGTCTCATGACAGTAATAGTACTCATCACAGTCAAGGTTCACTTCAAAGGTTCAAAGGTGCTCGCAAAAATGAATGGGGACTGGCGTGGCGAGAATGCCACGGAGTTCAGTCTACACGTTCATGTCATGTTCAGTTGCGATCTGCTTTCTCTTCCTGATTGCCATTGCGGTCATGCTGTCTGTTCTCTGTGATTTGACCTTTATCTCCTGGCATCTTACTGTCTTCATGTGCTCCCCTTGGGGGCACCTTGATGCCTGATGTAATATCGAATTTGTACAGCGGGCTACCATTTAGGTTCCGCTGCGGTCGGTTTCGCTGAGCCAGCCTTGGCACCGTGTAGCCTTTTTGGTTGTTGTGTTCTTGTGCGTGCGGCATGAGGTTTTTAGCTGTACCTTTGTTTGGCTGCGCTGCCTTTTGGTTTCCAGAGAGTTTTTCTTTGCACATGTAGTTTTTAGAACGAAATAGTCGGTTCGTGACATGGCGTTCTACTTCTAATCAACCATAAAGTCTTTTGTGTT